AACTAGCTGTTGTATATACTATTGTGTTCCAGTTGGTTTACACCCAAGTGTCATGAAAAGATTTTCTACTCCGAACTTCATAGATGATACATGAAATTAGAACTATTGTTATGTTGGACTAGGAAGAAAACTTTATAGAAATAACGATTAAGAAATTCAGTGTTGTTCAAAGGTTTCATTTACTGCGAGTAAAATATGTTTTTAAATTTCAATTAAGTATATGTTACTCGAAATTTCCTGATTTCTCATGTATGACCTGATTTAGAGGCTATCGCATGATGTAACTCAAACGTTTTCTGTAACTTAGCACGTTGTACTAACTACTAAAATTAAACAAACACAACATCGTGATAAACAATATATATATATATATATATTTCAACTTTGTAGTACCCTTCGCACGAGAGAAGGCTGTATTTGGTGATGTGCGACCGACTCTAATCTATAACCTAGTCTAACATGTTTGTTCTTAAACAGGTTTTAGTAGGTGGCGCATTATGTCTCCCATGGGTGCTCATGTGAACGAGTAGCTCTTTGTGGTTCTGGTGTCACAGATGTTACAATCAACGTGTGCTTTGTGCAGGAAAACGCATGATTTGTCACTGAGAGGCAGTAGCACGTACTTGGCCACGATTTGTAGTGAAGTCCTGTAAGCTCCGCCTATCAATTTTTAGTGGTGCCAACGTTACACGCTCATCAAGTCTCAGCCGAATTGTCACCATCTTAAAACATCCAATCAGCATGCGCATAACTACCCTGCATCCTAATGGAAAGCGAATGAAGATTGCTTTGCGTGGCCATTGTTGCAGTGGGTAGTTATTACAAGCTTCCTCGACGTGGTTAGGCGCCAAACTGAAATTAATATGAAGAACAAGCTTTTATTACCTGTGCAAGTTCACCTTTAGCGCAGAACTCAACGTCGTTAGGTGCGTGCGGACAACTAACTACCTGTCGAACAGAGAGGACAAACGAAATCCAGAGAAGCAGACTTTGACTTGGGCGAATAAGACTAAAAGACTTTATCAGACGGGAACATATCAGTGGTTGAAACTAAACAAATTCGATTGAACTTTATTGATAAAACTGGAAACTTCGCCATCTAGTAACTCGAATAGGTACTAAATATTACAAAATTAGAATTAGCCAAATAAGAAAACCCTACATTTCGATAAATTTTCCAAAACCGTGGAGTCGGATCGATACGTGGTAAGTATTAAAATATTATCTTTATATTATACATTTCAATTATATTTCTCATAATAATAGATAAACGTATTGAAGCATATATTTCAAGAGTTGATCTATGTTCTCAGTATTAATAACAATTACAGAGGCCTACGAAGTTAAAACTTCATTGTTTGTTATGAATTTCGCGCAAAGCTACACGAGAGCTATCTGGGCTACCCGT